CTTTTGACTCCACAAGTCCTCTCTAATTGATTACACGCATCTTTTCACGCGTTCTATTCAGTCGATCGCATCTCTTTTCATCCTTGAGAAGCCGATATTGATTGCGCCTATCAACGGGCAAACCCACCGGATAGTCGTAGACCGCTTCGCGTGAATCAGGTAATTCACTGACCCGACATTTGTCGCGTGACAACCGACCTTGCGTATCCGCTTCTGATTACGTCCTCCGCAGATCGATTGATATGTTAACCGTTTGAAAAATCTCTCGTCCTGTGCGCAATAAAATAAAAAAAATGCCCTTTGAGTGCTGAATACTTCCAGCTGAAACGTTCCGTGTGAACGGAATATTTGTTTGCTCATCTGAAGATCGATGAATTGTGTTAATTCATACAATTGGTTAAGTTGTGATTAAACTGTAATTGTAATTTCTCAGTTTCACCAAGTTGAATCATACTAAGAAATGTGTATAACAGTGACAGCCGCAGTCATATATTTTATATAAAGAATATGAAATTAATCCTATAGACATAGTTAGTTAAAGTTGTAAGCTAGGAAATTACATTTAGAGATTCAATGACTCGTTTTAGCTTCATTTGTTTCAATGGTTTGTTTAGAAGATTGATTGAATTGAATAAAATATTATAATTGAGAGGAAAAATGTATATATGCGCCCACAGCAAGCAAAGGGTTAATAGACTTGTAGTCGATACAATTTTAACCTGTTAACTGTGGAATTTAGATCGAAAAATCTCTCGTCTTGCGAGGAATAAAATCAAGAAATGAAGTGTGTATTCGTCAGACGTAGGGCGAACGCACCTAAGGGAGATTTTAACCCTTAGCAGTTCTATGTCGAGTTAGACTTGACTTTCGATTTTATTGCATTTTGTTTTTATTCGATATTATTAAAAAAGAATTTTTAAAAACTTAAAAATATTCATTGTATAAGCAAAAACTGGGATGTGAGAACTATCCGATGCGCTCCAAATCCCGAGGTGAATCAGATATTCCGCACTATTCAGTTTTTGCTTATAAAACGAAGGTTTTTCAGTTCAAAAAAATATTTCTTACTGATATTGAAGCTGAATGTGTATTAATAAGAAATTTGTGAAAACAAACTTTCATTCTAAGTTTTAACTATTAGTCTTTTCGCTGTTAAATGTAAACTGAACCGATTGGCCTCGGTTCAACCTAATTCCTCTCCCTTCTCTGCTTATATTATTTTTTCACATTTTTAGTGATTTTTCAACGTCTTTTTAACCGAGTTAAAGAGAAGCCTACTGTACTTAATCTTCCGTCGGCAATACCATTTTTCATCAACGAGGTCGGCAATATGGACCTTTTGTTGTTGGGCTTGGTTTCTTATTGTTGTGATATTTGTAAAAATCCGAAAAAATTCTAAGGTACTTACTATAGTCCCGAATTTATTATGACACTTCAGCCAAACTTTTATATAAATTTTCAATAAAAATTCGCGATGAAGTAATGAAGAATTGAGGTTTCCAATGGCCATGAAATGGTCCATATTGCCGGCGGAGGATTGACTTACAGAAACATTTTTAAATTATATCCATTTTCAAAATAAATGTTACTTAGAAATATTCACTTAAAGCTACCTACAAAATTCGATATATCTCGTCATCTATCAGCAGCGTATTATAATTCTTTTGTTCCTTAATCCCTTGGCCACTGTCGGCGTCTAAAGGCACTTTAAAAATTTGGTTTCGGGGTACTGTTAACGCCTATAACCTGCAGTAAAATGTTATTGACAATAATGGCAACGGAGCTTGCTTAGATCAGACGCAAGTGAATTCTAAATCAACAATTGTGCCATTTATTTTAAATAGTATAAGTCCTTTTTTTCATATATTGAGACTTTTAAGGGTTTGTGTTTGAATCAACTTAAAAATATTGGAAGACATTAATCGGGTGATGTTTATAAAACCATGAACTTATTGAATTTTATTATACTATGACGATTAATAAGATTGTCAATGGAAATATATACTTTTAGCTAAAAATGGACTTATTCCATTTTCAAAGAAAACATTTTTGCGATTACATTTCATAGTTAAATTTCCTTCGATTAATTTATGAGGATATCGTACGTCACTGATTGTGTGATTATAAATATAAAAATATCTATATCTAAAGTACCATTAGCTCATTTTTTCCCAAACTGGACTTATAACACTTAAAAAAACGGCTTAATTACATTTTCCGTTAGTGGTGTATTATATAAATATAATTATTTTATATTATATTAATTTAATTAAACACTTTCTTAGAAATGCACACTAACGCGAAATTCTGTCGTAGCCAAGAGGTTAATTTGCACCCTTGAACACATGTATACCTGACGACACGTATCCCACGTAAATTCGAAACAAAAGTCAAATAGCTCATTACAAAATAAAGGTGAACAAATTAAAAGATCCGTTTTTCTCAGCGCAAACCGAAACAAAGTGAAACATAAAGATCGAGGGACAGATTAATCGAATACCACAGAAGTTGATGTAAACTGAAATGAACCGAAGAAAACGCAGAATTTTCAATCAAATTTAAAAACCTGTCATTTGACCGGCGACGGTATGTTTAGCCTTAATGTCGGAGCAAGTTTCCAATGGCAAAATCCGACAGGAAACTTTCGGTGATTCTTTTGGCGGCACCTTTGCCGGTCTCCACGTTTTCACTGTGACAAGCGGAAGAGTGAAAGAATGCTTCGGAGACAAGTTGCATTTACAGTAAAGCCGACGGATGCCCGGTTTAAATTCTTGTCGTATCGTAGCGAGACACTGCGGGGAACTTGGTCAGCTGAAAAAAAGTGTTCTTCGATATTTCATTACGACCCATTGCAGCCACCAGAAAACGTGGGTGCAGGGACGTCAGCATATATTATCCGTGTACAGCAAGTGTCACTTAAAATTATACACCATAGCGTGTACTTACGAAACTTCTGTTTATAAATTGCGTTCACTGTAATTTTAATTAATCGTGTAAGATAATTATAAACTAAACCCATCGAACAATTGGGACGACTTATTTTTCACTTTTTATTGAAATTAGAATGCGTTTCTTGAGATTCGGAGGGTCGCTTAGTCTTGCATCTCTACAAATACGCAGATTTAATTGAAAATCCTTATCAAACACTCCTTTGTAATTGAAATACTTGCGAAATAAAATGTCTGAAGTGCGTCGGTTTGACTCGTCCGGTAGTTTTGATAATAAATAGTTAAAAATGGATGTCGATGAGCACATTTTACCCTTGCTTCGATAGTAATCGCTGTACCAACAGGAACTAAAATATTTAGTCGAATATCAATATTTTATAATGCGAATATTTGTATAAATCCTAAAAAACAGAAATACAGTACACTCGTCCAACTACATCGGTTATATATTAAAAGAAACGATATACTGTCTGCACAATGCATCTGTTTACTATTATTTTTCCAAATGATTCGTTACAAAAGCATTTTTCACGGGCGACGGTTGAACGCACGTTTCAATTCGTCAATGAAACGCCTTTCAAGCTCGTCGATTCGACAATGTTTCTGGGATTGTGAAGTAAATTCTGTCCTTCACGGCGTTTAATTTTCGCATCGTGAAACCGATCCGCAGGTAGGCAAACAGAATAGTGAAGTAATCCCTCATTGAAAATGAGCAATCGAGGTGCGAGTAGTTTCCTGTCATAACAGACATCTCTACCCGGTGTCTTCCTCGTTCATCCTGTCCGCAAAAGGTACACGCGAGAGACACGTCGAGAATCGACGTCAAATCGAGCGTAAGATTTGATTTCACTTCGCCGATGGATCATTGAGCACTGAATGCAACGAACTAACAAACGGTAGAGAAAGCAGGGAAAGAAGCTTCGACGTTGAGCTTCGATCCTCGTGACGGGCACAAAAGGTTTCGTTCAGATGCTCGATTGGACGATAATGGGACAGAAAATGGACAATAGAATCGAATCGACTTAAGAGCAAACATTTTCTAAGTGATCGAAGCGATCATCCTTTCGGCTTATTTCTCTTCTAGATAATGCCTAATGTCTTTTCTATTATTCGCTACGAATGGGCACACGAATTCGCCATACTCTCGGTCAAATAAACGTAAAAAGACCAACGGAAAGATATGCCTTTCAATGACACTTTGGATTTAACACGGCGTACAAGAAGATGGAAACTACGTTCGGAATAATACTGAACGTTACTTTGTTCGTGCAAGTGATTAACTGTATTTAGTGGGTTGATGCAGTTTTGACGTCTTTTTAGAAGATACACGAAGAATTCTCAACTGTCTGCTGGCTAAGCTAAGACTAAGTAGAAACGAAGGAAAGAGTGTTCTTTCTATTTGCAGGTTGTAATAGTTTGGAAACAGACGTTATTTGTTTCGAAGAAAACCATTTGTTTGTTAAGCACGTATAAAGAACGTAAAAATTTGTGGACCAACTCAATATTCGTATTAGAAAGAGAGACATTACTAAACATTAATAATATTTCAGCTATTTCATTTATGTTTGCCATAGGTGATCTTTTATTTAATAAAATAAATTCTTTTCTTCTGATCTTTATAAAATCATTGACGGAAATGGAGATTTTATTTTTAGTAATCACAAATCCGACTTAATTTGGCTACATTAATTCGAGCACAAACGAATTTCTCTTCAATATATCACAACAATAAAACGTCTAACATTAAAACCATCGAACAGTTGAGAAATATAAAATACAGGATTCTCTACAATTTTAGAAAACTTCGAGCACCTTTCATTGCTGTGCCTGCGTCGATACATGAATTTATTTCACAATTTCTTAAAAAACCACCACAGTGATTTCGATAACTGTAGAACAAGGAATTTAAAACATAACTTCTGGACATTCTATGGTCAGATATGTAAAAAAGAATTTCAGTCACCTATTAAAACGAGTTTCTTCTGTGTTGCCAAAAAAATATTGCCTATCGAGAAAATTTTGTAGAGCGTGACACAAATATGTGGTCTACAGGTCGTTGTGGCGATGAATCAGATACGGAAAGCGAACCAGGTATTCCTTTGAAACGAAAGCAACGTAGAAGCAGAACCACGTTCACCGGGGAACAGCTAGAGCAACTGGAGACTGCGTTCCAACGGGCCCAATATCCTGACGTTTATGCGAGGGAAGAATTAGCTCAAAGAACTGGTCTTACGGAAGCTAGGATACAAGTGAGTACACTATCATTTGAAGCAGTAGCTTCGCTGCGTGGCTCGTTGTAGCAACAGTTACAGTGCTTCTAAAAAACTAAGATAATTTGCGAAATTTTGAATGCCAACCATTGTCGACGTTCATTCGGAATAATAAAGTAATGTATATTTCATAATATACAATATGCAGTATTTATGTAAGTATAAATGCACTATCGTTTATAAATATTCGATTATCATTCTCTTTATAGAATATATAGAGAATATATTTGAAATAGAACCTTCCGATGTAATTTTTGTTACTTTAACTGTATTGCATGTTTATGTGGAAGTGATGATAGATAGAATTAGTATAATTGTTATAAATAAAAGGTATAATACGGAAAATAAAATATGACAGTTCTAAGAGATTCACTTTATATTCTTTTATCATTAGAATGGGAAATTAGGGGAATAGTTGTAGATTTACTTAAAAATCTGAAATGAAATTTAAGAAGAATCATCGAAGAAATTTGTTGCTATATTACTTGGAATCATTAACTCGATTATTGCTCGACGAGAATAACTTATATATAATAATTACTACTAACTACAAACGAATCAGTAGTAATATTTATGTCAATCATATAAAGCATTCATTCTACTTATAAACGTTTGCATTACTCGAACACGATATTGTATCGAATACAAACTTTTCGATTCGATTCCACGAAATAGTTGTGGCGAAATACTTCTGGACAGTATTGCATTATATCAAGGCCGACCTTTCGAATACACGGGGCAAAGAACAATTTCTAGATTTCGTAACAACGTAAACTATTGTATTCGCAAAGTGAAGAATGACTTGCGATGAAATTTATTTGTAGAACAAAGAAAAATTTCTAAATTTTATATCGAAGAATTTAAACTGGTGTATTCACAGCCAGTATCGTTTACACAATTGGTAACATGTTAAAATATGGAATATGACGGTATTGGCCTTCTGCTGCCATCTGTACGTAATCTTAAGAACTTTCTTGTACGTCTAATAAATATCGCCAATGTGTTCATACGAACATAAATGAAAATCAGAGAAGTAAATCATTTACAAATTTGATATTTTACTTTACTTTGCTTGATAAAGTGATGGGGCTGCAGTAATAAAATTAGAATATAGATCATACTTATAGTATATATATAGATATATGAATATAATCCCACCGTTGAATACATTTATTAATTATTAATAATTACCAACAATACGTAGCAGATTTTAGGTAAATATATATAAATATGTAATGAAACAAACATTCATATTTTGTTCTGGGAAAGCTATAGCTTTGCACTCCGAATTTCTTTTGCATTTGTTCCTTGATAACTCTGTATTATTACGATATTTGATTTGAAATGCATTTGAAAAAATAGTTAGTTTGTAGAGAGCAGTGTAAACGATTCTTCTTACTAATAATATTGAAAATAACATAATGACAAAGAATCACACCTGCGAATAAAACTGATATCGAGTCACACTCGACATAGGAGCCCAAACTCTCAACTGTCAGTCACCATTTGATTTGATATAACAAAATTACAAAGTGTTATATATAATATTAACTTTCGTATAACGCATCAATATATGAAATATTTACATAAAACATCTGTTTCTTAATTTACGTATGTTTTCTCATTAGTTCGTTTCAAATAATGTCGTCCACGTTCCATCAGGAAGTGTCGAATATTTCAAGTGAAAAGCTTCCGAGTGCAAAGGATTGATACTAATCATAACGTAAGAACATGATCAAACAGGGCATGTTCGCACATTCAATTCCGCTATGCGTTGTTTGACCAGAAATACGTGTGTTTCAGGTATGGTTCAGTAATCGCAGAGCACGGCTGCGAAAACACGCTGGCAGCATAGCTCATTCGGTAGCCGGTTTACCCTTGACTCCCTGTCAGTACGCGGCTAGTCATGAACTCGCGCAGCTACCGCAAGTGCCTCAAATGTCGGCCGGCATACCGCAGGTACCAACTTCGTTACACCATAGCCCGACGACGTTACAGCAATCGAACGGCACCGGTGCGCATCAACTCCCTGGAACGAACCCACAAATACCAACCAGCACGTCCATTACCCAAGCACCCACTACGATCAGCAGTGTCCTCCCAGGTCACGCGGTGTCCATCTCCGGACATCTCAGTTCGTTGCAGGGACATGCGATGCAAATTGGACAAGTCCCGACGATCCAACCACCCGCAGCTCACGGGGCACCCGCAACTCTATCACATAACACAGGTCAGTTCGAAAACTGTTCGATTTCTTCTTATATCGATCCCTTGACGCTAACGATACTGGTATTTTTTCTATCGTAACTATTTAAAATAACTGGCTACAAATAGAGATAAATGAATTAGATGATGCATTTTTCTTAGTGGAAACGGAAACAAAAGGAAGGATGAAAATTGAAAAACTAATTAATCGGACAATATAGGAATTGATATAAAATTAAACCCTTGCCGTACAATGACGAGTGAAACTCGCGATGAAGGTTTCTAGACTAATTTAACCATAGTCAATGTTGTTCATTACTCATGGATCGAAGTATACAAATATTTCGCTATAATCAATGTATTATCTTCAAATGAAATTTCTACTTGAAATAAAATGGACAATTTTGTTGCAATTCTTCCAAATTGACGATAGTAAAATATTATACGAGCTTAGTAGCGGAAGTAAATAGTACGCCAAGGGGTTAAATGAACAAAAGAAAACGCGGAATTTTAAATTCGGTCATTTGACCGGTTCTCGGTACGTATTAACCCTTTGCGGTCGAATGTCTACTCTCGAAATTCTTTTACCGTTCCAGTCTGTAAAACCTTATGTTAAACAGCACTCGATCGTTGTAATAAATTTGTCGAAAATTCTAAGCAAATAATAAATATCTACTGTTTATAATCATATTGCTATTGTTCACTTTATTGAATTGATTCAAGGGTTAATCGTTACTGCGATTTCTATCATTTGCGTATGTAAATTCAACCCTTGAAGAAGTTAAATTAACAGTAGAATTAATAAATGTTTAAAAGTGATTGATATGTTCTTTTCTTAAAAATTGTGCAACTATATTTTGTCGCGTTTTTGCTAGTATTCGTTACTAGATAGTGGGCAATGTTTATATCGTTTTGAACTTGAAATGATTGAATTTAAACTTTCATATTATTTTTTCGACAGAAGATATTTATTTTACAAAGAAAACAAAACAGAGCTTTGTTTTCCTTAAACTTTGTTAAACTTGAAAACATAATGAATTTTATCTTATAAATAATAATGACACTGAATTTCAAACAATTTCATTATTATAACACAAAGTTGCTGAATTTAAGATTTCAAAATCAAAACAAAATCAACAAATCACAAACAAATGATTTTCTTTAAACTTTGTTAAGTTTAGAAACGTGATGAATTTTGTCTGACAAATAAGAATGACATTGAATTTCAGGAAATCCAGATTGGTGCAGGGCGCAACTCGGTTGGGGGCAGTTCAGTCATTTCCAAGGAGAATATACGTCGAGCCACCAACATTCGTCCCATACAGGACACAGTGGCACACAATCTTCTGGTGCGGTGAATTCTGTATCGTCAGCGGAGTGGTACGATCAGGGTTATGATTATTCTCAACACAGTCAACTCAATTATCATCGGAGTGCAAGTGGAATATTTTAGGAGAAGCCCATTCCACGAACATGTATCAAAATTAGCCTTAAAATTCATTTATATTTCTCCAACGCAATACATTTACCTTTTCATCCAAGCTTCGTATTCCCATTTCGTATTTTCCATATCTATGTAGATAAGTTTACATATATTGTTGAAATTATTTTTCAACTGTAGAACAGAAATATGATTGTATATTAACACTTTACTTACTGGCAGTTACTTAATTTGTTTAAATCAATAACTAACAGCAAAGTATTCCTTAATTGGGAAAACTCTGTGTCAGTTGATTATATTTAAAAAACGACATATGTTTAAGAAATTCTTTTAAGGTTTTGTCTTAAGAGCCATGTAATTAATAAACAGACAAAGTGATATATTAAATGAATTGCTTAAGATTAAAATTTCTCATGATATTTGTCAGATTCGGTAATCATAATAGTGAATCAACAAGTCTATCTCAAACAACGTGGGATAATAATTTCTTTTGAAGATATCACTAATAAATATATATTAAGAAATTTATCAATATATTGTCAGTACGTATAGTGTTAAATGAAATAAGTGAAGATGTATAAAATACTCCATTTATAATGGTGCACACATATAAAGCGAAAAACATTATTTATTAATAGGTTCATTGTCCTATGCTTGGACAACATTTTATATGTGCTGTTGATTTCATTAAATCGTGTCGAATAATGAACGCTAATTTGAGAAAGTGTGACCGCCTTTTCGTCCACTTACTCGATGTTAATAAAGTATTAGAAAATGAAAGCGAACCTGAAATTAACGATTAGAATAGATGGTTCGTTAATTAAATCGTTCATTAAATTGAATATTTTGTAAATATGAGAATTTAGATATTTTTGTATGTGCCGACATTACAAATGATCCTGATGTAAAGCATTTTTCAGATGTGTACAAAAAAACATGTTATTAATTATCAATTATATTTTTTATGTATTTCTAATATTTCATAAATTATTCTGATACGTTAAATCTGTATACCTATATGTTCCACATTTTTCAGTCCTCAACAACTAATTGTAAGATAGAACAATTCTACGAATTAATTGGACCTGAAAGTATTTAATATAATAAACCTTCCATATTAAAAAACGAAGTATTTTTTGGTCTATTTCTTTTATGAAAATTTTATTTTTAATAAGTAATTAGACTGTTGATCTCACATCTTTTAGTAGTAATGTATGCTCAATGATAATTAGCATCCTACTTTTTAAATTATTAATTTCTCAATATTCAATATAAATTTAATCTTGTAAACTACAAATAACAGTGACAAATACGAATTCTATTATTATTAGTTTCTATAGTTTTAATCAGATTTTGAGTAGAAAAATGCCATCAAATGTTATTACGATGTAAGAAAATTGTGTATAACTCCCAAGACCGTGATATGGGTACTGAAAGTCTTAAAAATGTTGATTAAAAATTATTTTAATAAAGAAGTATTTAATATATTTCAGCGAAAATTATTTCATTTTATAATTAAAAGACTGTTTAATTAAGTTAAGTTAAGTTAAAAATATACTGTTTAAAATCATTAATACAATATTACAAAATACATTTAATTTTCACAGTAAAAACTTATACGTTCCACTATTAGTCCTTACACATTCTACAATGGATTCCTTAATATCTTCAACTAAATAATTAATAAACGTAACAGTTAAATAATTAAGTGATATAATACTTAAAATAATTTCTCATACATCTATCATAAACGAGCGTACACAGATAGACTTAATAACCAATTAAAATTTTGTCATACGCTCTGGAGTGTCCTAGATCCTTTTACCATTTTCGTGTCAGTCTCCGTCATATCGACTATTAATATTACACGTTAGCGCTACAGGGGCTAGCAATTGAAATAAAAAAAATTGAACACAGGTTTAAGTCTCAATAATCTCAATAGTTCTCTTGTCCACTGTTTTCAAGGTATAAAGGGCAAAGCAAATCGTCGGACTTTTTGAACAATCGGTTATTCAGAACCTGAAACGATCGACACAGGTTTGAAATTCTATTTCACCGACGAAAGATAGAATAAACTGGACGTACAATGTGAATTTTTGTCAGACGGTCAGAGAGTTAGTAAGTAGTGCAACAATGAAATTTGGGATAGTGTTTCATCGGTAGATGTGTTTCAGTTAGTTTACACAGTATCATTGCATAGTCGATAAATTAGTTCTCTAACCTCCGAATAGAATGTACCGACACATAAAAGCCGAGTAGACCTTATGCGATACGTCCCACATAAACGGCACACTGCGCACTCTGACGGGCACTGCATACGGTAATCCAACGAAGCCGACGTGTAGAATCCACGTAGGTAAGTAAAATTATGACTTGCTTCCTAGCGCCAAACATGCACTGTTCGTGAAAACTCGGCTCTACCGAGAGTTCCGAGAGTTCCCGCGATTAATAATTGAATTCAAAATTCTTTGCCTAATATAGTTCAGTATATCCATAAAATTATAATACTTAAGTCGTTTTAACGTTCAAATGATTTGTCTAAATATAGTTCAGTATATCTGTAAAATTATAATTCTCAAGTTATTATAACGTTTAATTCCGTTGTCTAAATATAACTCAGTATATCTGTAAAATAATAATTGTCGAATCATTCTAACGTCCAAATCCTTTGTTTAAATATAATTCAGTATATCTGTAAAATTATAATTCCCGAGTTATTTTAACGTCTAAATCCTTTGTCTAAATATAGTTCAGCTTATCCGTAATCTTATCCACAATAAATTACAATAGTCGATATCTTATCACCATTTCTTCAACATATACATGAATTCTACGGCTGTGCTTTCGAGAACCTATTGAATCAAATTGGGCTGCAACGCTGCTGATAAACTCGGAGGATGCGTTATCGTTCGCAAACAAAAGATGAGACTTTTACCAGCTTATCGTTGAGCAATTCATGCAGGTGCGCATTTTTCCGTATACGCTGTTTCCTGTGAGGTTTCGTACATGTGCGCATTTTTCTGCATGCATTTCTCGTGTGAGCTCTTTTCCTGCCGGTTTTCCTAGTTACCATATACATCTAGTTACCTATAACATTTAGTAGGTGGCCTGTCCCTACCCAGGACCTGGTTGGCTCAGTTTGAGTATTTATCTTGAGATTGTCAACTCCTATACCGCAATCGCCAAGTGGCCCCTGATGGTCTTCGGACAGCGAAGCGGGGAAGGAATGCGGGACAGCGATGCGTGCTCTCCTTATCGCGACGTGGCGGATTCGCTGAAAGGGTGCGTTATCGTCACGAAGGACGATTCCGGCTTACTGCTGGAAGAACGCCGTCCATAGTTATCGGTGGCACCTTTTATCTACTGTAGAGATAGCGCTGCCGCCTCTCACTATCGCACTTTAAACGGTTCGGGCGAAGATGTGCATAGGTTTTCCTAGCAATAAAAGCTGCCTCCACGGACTGTAACATTTACCTGTAAGAGAGCTACTTTTTTACGAAGACGAACTGTGCGTGAAGAAAGTGCGCGCGTTCTCCCTTATGGTAAGTACAGTTGCTGGGAACCTGGTACACTCATATGAGTAGTCTGATTCGGAGACGCACGCCTTGCGAATTCTCGGTTCTGGTACATGAGCTGATCCGCTCACGCACACTAAGTTACGTGACAAAGAGCGCGAAGAGTCGTTTCCGGACTTACAATAGGACTTCTCAAAGCGAGTGTATCCTCCCCTATGACGTCATAAGTGTCAGGTTCCCAGCAACTGACGGTAAGTATACAGAAATTAGTAATTGATTGTTGCTTTTTATTGCTCTCTGTATTTAGATGGATCAAATCACGCATATAATGGACATATCCGGATTTGGGCTTAAGAATTGGACATATTTACATAAAGAAATGGCTATCGTGGAAGTTGCCACTGGGAACTTTATAATGACGGAATTCCTTTTAGAGAAAGATTGGTGCGAGTTAACCCCCGCCGAGCAGGCGTCGGTACAGAACGATACAAAGTTCCACGGGATACCGTTTAGAGATGTTGGCTTCGAGGAGATGAAACAAGAGGATATTTATAAAGTCGTCGAAACATTTTTAGGCAATCCTAAGAACTGTATTGTAGCGCATAAAGGGAACGTCCTAGTGAACCGGGTTTTGAACAAAATGAAAATACGTGAAAAATTTTTGAGCGACTTGTGGTGTCCGACTTATGAGATGCTAGCAATTGATCCCGTGTGCAGGACGAATCTGGAAGTGAATATGCCGTGTCGACTTCACAGCGAGTGGCAATCATCCCGTGGAAGATTATATCGTTGCTCTTTCAACGTAGTGTGCTGGTCTCGATTATGGCTCATAAACAAATGCAGAAGGTGATGTGTCAAACGACGTTAAGATACGTGAAAGTATTTTTCTCGATGGTAATGTTTCTTACTGAATCGAACGTGCCGATTAAAGTTTGATACTGATCGAGCCGCAATTCGCATTATACGACGAACATACAGATTCGTGCGAGTTTTGGCCTCGGTGCATGAAACATTTATTTAAATCCCTGGCTGCGAGAGGTTATTATTTGGGGTCGGGAGACTCTACAATTGTCGCCGTCCCATTAAGTTAAATTTCAAAATGTATCGCGTGCTTTAGAAGAAATAAATTAAATTGAAGACAAAATAATAAATTTGATTTACACATTTGTTGCAAGAATGTGCGTGCGCGTGTGTGTGAGTTGAATTTGTTCAACGTTCAACCCTTTGCACTCCAGAGGAGCCTCTCAGTCGTCATACGATTTGATAGATCAAAATTATCAAAATTCACATTTAACAGTAAGCTATGCATAATACTTCTGTTTCTTAACTTATATGTGATTTCTCCTTCAATCAATTTCACAAAATGTCGTTTATACCTCATCGAATGATATTCGGTATTTTTGGTGAAAAACTTTTGGAATGCAAAAGATTAATTATACATTTTTTCAGATAAACGTGTGATTCTCGTTCGTTTCGCTGCAGTTTTTCGTTAGAATATATTACAGGTGCATTTGGCCTACGTTTGACAAGAGTACGTTTTATTATTTGATTTTATTGCGCCCACATTGAGAGGTTTTGAAACTAAATTCCACAGTTAACTGTGCTAAGTAGCGTGGCGCGATAAATAAATGACAATCGGCGGAGGTGTCGCGTTCGACTAGCACGAACCTCGATAGGAACTAAGTACTCTGTCGGCGATAATACTGGTTTGCGCGTCTCGCCGCGTGTAGGTCGTTGCCTTTTTCTACACGTTTAGATACTTTGCCGTGTAGAAAAGTTTAATACTGAAGTAGAAAGAAAAATATGCTTTTATTTACTTATAATTGATTAGTAAACAATCAAAAACGTATAAATAATAATTAGTAAATAAAAGCATATTTTTTTTGTTTCAATAGTAAAAATTCTGATAGATAATACTAATAATTTACTAGCAGAGGATCGAAAATATATAGATAATAATTAATAAGTAAAAGCATTGTTTTTCTGTTTGAATAGTAAAAACTCTGATATATAATACTAATAATTTACTAGTAGAACGTCAAAAACATATAAATAATAATTAGTAAATAAAAGCATATTTTTTTTTGTTTCTTTGATTCAGTTTTTCAATATCTGCCCTTCTCTTTGTTTCCGTTTCCACTAAGAACAATATTTCGTCTAATTCGTTTACCTGTATTTCCTCACCAATCTAGCTACGGTAGAAACAGATATACAAAATGCCAGTACGTTTGCTGTTAAATGCCTATTTCGCAAATACTGTTCACAGCCTACTCTGTTCACAATTAACTATTCGCTATCAATTATTTTTCGCCGTCAAAAACATCGAACCTAGCTACAAATATTAAAATCATTCGAGAAAGAAGAGAAAAAGTAACGAACAACATTGAAAAAGAAACAGTCGAATAAGAGACATCGACACTATTGTAATCAAGATGATAGACGGTGACGAACAGGCAGGAAGAAGGAAGTGCAAATGACACGCAGGAAGAGACGAACAGGAAGTAAACGTCTGGCATGATTGAAGAAAAAGTCTACCTGGCCTCAGCTACAAATACTATGATCATCCGAGAAAGAAGAGAAAAAGTAATGAGCAACATTGAAAAAGAAACAGTCAAATAAGAGACATCGACACTATTATAATCAAGATGATAGACGGCGACGAAGAGGCAGGAAGAAGGAAGTGTAAATGACACGCAGGAAGAGACGAACAGGAAGTAAAAGCCTGGCATGGCTGAAGAAAAAGGGAGACAGTATTGGTTGAAGGATCAGGTGAGAAGGGGTTGGTATGGGGGTTGGGGAGAAATATGCTCGCGCACTGGCTTGCTTCTGCACGAGGTAACGGGCGGGGTGAGGATTGAGACGCGTTTAGCGGGTAAAAGGAAGGCAAAGCAGATGAGAGTGAGAAGACGAAAGGCCGGAAAAAGAAGGGTAAGAAAAAGAGAATAAACCTAAAGGAGCGAAAGAAGTAGTATAAAAGGATGAACAAGAGCCGAAAATCAAAGGGAGAAAGAGCGACTGCGTGAAAGTGGGAGGGGGAGCGGAAAGGTGGTCGGGAGACCGGGTAGGGAAGAAGAAAGAGAGACAGCGCGAAGCGGGGAGGGAGAAAAGTAAGGACGGGGTTGGTTCGGCGAGCTCAGTTACGCCGCGCCCCTTGCGAAGAGCGCTGTGCTTCGCGGGTGAGATTACGGTGTCCTTGCAGTTCGAAAACAATTTTGTCACCACGTTTCAAAACAAAACGTCCAAGTGCTGTGCAGGTTTCGCGGTCGCTAAGAAATATAGGCCTACCTGCTTCGATAGGAATAATCGGGCGTTGTTCTATAATACTTTAGTCAGTTTTCGTTGCGCGAAAGGGAAATAGTAATTTCACCGAGTGATACAGTGTAAACACAAAGCTGTGCAATTTGATGATAGTGTCCAGTGAGAACGCATGGAGGAAAGCGAATGTACAGTGATTCTGCTTGTAGCATCGAATGCTCAGATTTTCTGGAGAGAAACTGTCAACTGTTGAACACTGTGAATGAAAGAAAGTTGAACTGTGATCGATGATTGGAAGGTGGTCGTTGATAATCAATAAATGAAATGTGATCTTGTTAACTAGTACTGATTGTAGTTGATTGAGAACGTGCGAAGAAACTTTTGTCGGACGCTAGGAAGATAAAGGGGGTGTCCCGAACAGTGGATGATATAATATGTTCCAGCGAAAGTTTCCCGTCAGATTTTTCTTAAAGATAAGATTATCAGAGAAGTTCGGTGTCGTGACTCTCGCGCGGATTCGCGGACAGGAAGACTGGCGTGCAGTGGACAAAGTAGAATTACACGTTCGTTGAATTGTTTTTAAACGATGAGACAGTTCAGTTGGAGCGGATAGTGAACTTTTCGTTGATTTTATGAGATACGTGTTCATTTCGATGTTAATCTAATTTACTTAAACAAAGTTTACTCTAAAATTTATGACCAACCACGACAAATTGTATCCTTTTGTCGCTAAACAATGCAAGTGTATCGTAACGATATAAAAGTAACAATTAACGAATTCGGAACGAAATGATTAATTAATAAAAGAATAACACCTACGTTTAACTTGTATTCAACAACCGAAATTCGATCCGTATTCAGTTGTTTTCTCATTTACTTATACCATATAAAACCTACTTGTAAATGACTGCTAAAGTAAACTAAAAAAGTGTAACACGCGCGAAACTCTAATACATGAAACGGACATTTTAGATATTTAAATAGACTCATTAAAACAGCATTGAATACGATCAAGACAACTGAATCTACGATAAAGTACCCGATGAAGTGTTATGGAGGAGATCGTGTGCATTGTCAAATTAACAGAGGAAGAAACAAGATTCTCTTTCCACAGAGTAATATGGTGTTTAGCTCGTCAGCTGATTGATTAGTCCATACGGGATGCGGCGAGAAATATGATACAACTTGGTAAGAAGCAATTATTCATGTCAAATTAAATGAGCAGCGTAGACAGACCTTTTTTTTAACTAAATTATTATCGTTTCTTTATTTTACACAGTTACAGTGCAACTCTTGCTTCTTGGCCGCTCGGCGCCAAGCTAAGAGGGCAGCACGTCTCCACCTCGGTCCTTCCAGGAAACATAGTAGCCGAGCCTCCGTGTCCCCGGGATTCGATAAACATAAAAAGCCGCCGCCGCGCCGGAACGAAATTCGACGCCAATGCTCGTTACATCTCACTTCACCGTGTTCCGTTTCGCTTGCGTTCTTTGTTGCGTGTCTCGGCCAATAACAAGGACGCGCAGAAACTGAGGCGTCACTGTTGCCATGACTACCGGACGGAGCGCCGCGAATGGACGTCTCCCCTTGCCCCTCTGCCCTCTTAGCTTGGCGCCGCTCGGCCAAGACGCGAGAGCAGCACTATAGTAATGTTGACCATCACTATATAAGAAGTACCGCGTTTCGTCGTGAAGTGATTCTCTTGAATGTCTGAATCGGTTGATGGAAAATACGACGTATATTAATCACGAGAATTTTACACGTTCACGCTGGCAATGTAGCTCATGGTTTTTCCCGTCTGGCGGCGAAATTGTTAATGTTTTGGAAGTTGTTGAAATTATTGGAATTATTAGTAAATAAGTGAATTTTCAACTGAATGGTAATTTTTTTATTTAGCAAACAAATTTAACATGTTCCGTGCCAGGGAAATTTCGGTCATATTTTGTTTACGAACTGTATTGATTTTTAAAATAAAATATTAAATTATATTCACGTTTCTGGGCATTTTATGTATTTTGATATTGTTTTTTTATATTTTCGGTGCTTTGTAACGTATACCGCTATTTTTGACCATGTGTCCTTTGAAAATATTTGTTTGCAAAAATTTGCGTGTACCATATGTGGCACTGAACGTGTTAATGAACTACATATTCGACTGTATACCGTCTGATAAGATATCAATGTATGAGCAACCACACTCCAGCGTTAACGTGTTAATGAATTACAATACAGTAATTTATTATCATACGCAACTACAGAATTAATTTTAATTATTTCTTTATTGATGAAATTAAGTGTTATTAAAAGGTTTTGAGCTTTTTTGGAACAAGTAACTAGGAAAAGTAGTTGATTGAATTAAAAAGGACAATAGATATACATTCATACACAGAGAATTTTCAAAGTCGATTTTAAAAATATTATATTTCAGATAAGAACATTTTTATTCGCCTCGGTGGCTATATGTTTGTACAAGAAATCACCTTTTGTAAATTTATAATATCTTACACATGTACATAGTAAATAAAAAAACAATCCCACAGTGCTTTCCAAATCGAAACGATTCTTCAAATTTTATTATTTATAAAGTTTTGTTTTAGTATAACAGCTGCTGGATTTGAATAATTAAGTGACATGGGACCTGAATTCAAATGTTTGCCAGCTGATTTGATGTAAAGTTTGTTATTGAAGCAAAAGTCTAAACTTTACTTCGGAGCACAATTTTTTTAACTGTTTATGTATATATATGTTGATAGTTCTCGCTGAATAAAAATTAAATTTTAAGTTTCAGGTTTAGGAATTCATTGGCTTCCACGTTATGTGTATACAAAGTTAATTAACCCCTTGGCCTATGATTTTTTTCTCACCTCTCATAGATACGGC